TACAGCGCGCGCCGGCACCTTTGTGCGTGCAACTGAAGAGCACGTGCTGCGAGCACAGTACCGTTTCCGCACTTGTTTGACTCGCGTCTGGCACTGAAGTGAAGTGGAGCGCGCGTCTGAAACGTCTCCCGTTCTCAGTTGTTCTGCGACTGAATAAATGTACTTCTTGTCAAGAGAAAAATTTACAGAAGCAGCAGTTGTGAGTGGGGTGGCCAACCCTAGCCCCGCCCCTGCGTTAATTGCGTTAAATATTTTTAATGCGTTAAACTGAAAAAATTAATCGTCTGCGTTAACGCGCTAATTTTGACACCACTAATATATATATATATATATATATATGTATTTTGTATGTTTGATGAGAAATACCATTCATTAGTGCCTTCGCAAATACACACGTCCCCTATCGATACTTCACTCGTACTGAGTCTTGCTAAAGATGCTATGGGAAAAAGCCTTTTTTCTCCTTAACTGAAGCCTTTTTCCAATCAACTGTAACTGTACGGCCATTGGTTCGTGCAGTGTATTAGAAATGAACCAAGGGCTCAGCAGCGGAGCTGCACGAGCCTATGGCGCCGACGCCCGCCAGAGCCCGCCAGAATGGGTGGGGCCATCTGGCTATATAAGCGGGCGCTTTGCCACAGGATCTTCAGATTTCTTCTCCTTCAGCGATGACGACTACGCTCTCCGCTGATCTACGAAGCCTGCTCGCCGTTTGACACGCCTCCCAGCTGGACTGAGACCTCTCTGCTTGGCTGATCTGCCTTTTCTTCGCCGCTTTCACCCGTCCTTTTCACCCAGCTTGACCAGCGTCCCTCTGCCAGCGCAAGCGATCTGGTCTCGTTTGGGGGGAGTGAAGACTTGCTGCCCGATGACAGCATGTCATTGGCAGCCTCAGAAGCAGAGGAGCTGTCGGGCTCGGTTACCGACCCAAAGCCGGGATGGATGCCGAACTTCTCCGTATCCTCTCAAAGGCGGTTGAAGAGCTGGGAATAGAGTGGTCTCCACTGGAGGAGCCCTCTCGCAGCCAGTGTTGGGGGTAATGCATTATTTTTAAAAGTAACTTTCCACAACACTGCTCGCAGCCGTCTGGATGAGTGGTTCCTTCCGGGGCGCCGTCAGGCCCCTTGCCAGCGTCCCTCTCCGTTTTTCCCGGAGGTCCATGATGAGCTCACCAGATCGTGGCGCGCTCCCTATTCCGCCCGCCTCCGTACTTCCACTTCATCCGCCCTCACCTCAGTCGACAGCACTGAAGAGAAGGGGTATGAAAAGTTGCCTCCCCTGGACATGTCAGTGGCCACGCATCTCTGCCCGCTCACGGCTATCGGCTGGAAGGCAAAGGCCGCCCATCCGTCCAAGCCATGTAGGACCACTTCAACACTCGCTGGACGCGGCGAATCTGGCCTGGACCCCGCGACTCTCAGGGAGCTGAGGAGTGCGACTGACCTGGCTCAGTGCGCCACCAAGACAACCGCTCAGGCGATCGGAAGGTCGATGGCCAGCCTTGTGGTGCTCGAGCGCCATTTATGGCTGACGATAACGGAAATCAAGGACGCGGATAAGGTTTTGTAGTTGGTCCCCTTTTGTAGTTAGTCCCCTTCCTTGACCCCCGATTTCTCCCAACGGCCTCTTTGGACCAGTGGTCGAAGGGTTCGCCGAGCGCTTCACTGAGGCACAGAAGTCATCCCAGGCCATGCGACACTTCCTGCCAAAGCGCTCCAGCTCCACAACTGCTCCTAGTCACCCTAAGTCTACGCCGACTCAGCAGCCCACTCAGCAGACACGAGGGCGTTCCCGCTCAGCCAGACGCTACCCCTTTCCTAAGCGCCAGGGACCCCGACCCAAGATAGCGTTCGACCTGGCGCCTCAGGCGTCTTCCTGATCTGCAGGACAGGAAGAGGAGGGGGCCAAGTCTCGCTACGGCTGGACCACCCCCCAAGCAGCCTCTCTTAAACCTCCTATCACCCCGTTTAACCCCGGGTGCAGAGGGAAATGCGTTTGTTGCAAATTCTGGGCCCGTTCAAGCGCCCAAGCAACCACCCGCTGTTATAGTGGGAAAAATAAAACACAAACATTTTCAAAAAGAGAGCACATTTCCTCTTCCGTTTCTCACGAGTGCCCTGCCTCAGCGCAGCCAGTCACTCGAGTTAATCCAACCCCTTGCAACATGGGCCGAGGCCTGGCAGGCCATCCCCGGAGTGTCAGAATGGGTTATGGGGATAATACAACGAGGATATTCACTCCAATTCACTCGTTGGGTTCCTCCAGCTCAGAGCGAGTCAGGCTTCTACAGCCGTTACTTCCTCGTCCCCAAAAAGGATGGCGGCCTCCGGCCCAGCCTCGATCTCAGACTCCTGAATTGTGCCCTCATGAAAAGGTCGTTCAGGATCACTACACTGAAACAGATCCTCTCGCAAATTCGCTCAGGGGACTGGTTCTTTTTGCTGGACCTGAAAGACGCATACTTTTGACATCCAGAGAGCCCCCCGTCACAGACGATTCTTGAGATTCGCCTTCGAAGGAGTGGCATATCAGTACACGGTCCTTCCCTTTGGGCTGTCTGGCTCCCCGCACTTTTATGAAGTAAGGCAGATGGGAATCCGCATTCTCAACTACCTCGATCACTGGCTTGCCTTGGCTCAGTCGGAGGCAGAGTTAATATCGCACATTACTCTCCTCCTCCGCCACTTGGAGTGCCTGGGACTCAGGGTCAATTTCGCCAAGAGCACGCTGTCCCCCAGCCAGCGAATATCGTTCCTGGGAACAGTTCTCTACTCAGCTCAAATGAGAGCGGTAGTCACACCAGAACATGTTCAGGCCATACAGAAACTTGCGGCCTCCTTTGAGATCGGTGCCACGCACCCTCTCAAAACGTTTCAGAAGATGCTGGTCCTTATGGCAGCAGCATCACCAGCACTACAGCTGGGCCTGATTCGTATGCGGCCCCTTCAGCGCTGGCTGAAATCACGGGTTCCATCAAATGCGTGGCATTACGGACGCCTACAGATCAGGGTAGAACAGGCCTGTGTAACAGCCCTGGCCCCTTGGAAGAGCTCTCACTGGATGGAACAGGGCGTGGCCATGGGTATGGTTTACAGAAGGAAGGTTGTCATGACAGATGCCTCCAACATGGGTTGGAGCCACTGTGCAGGTTTCTCTTTGTGAGGTTTGGTTAGCAGTGACTGAAACATAGCTTTACACACAACTGCCAGTCTGTATGGAGAGGATCTTGAGACTCCAGTAGCTTCAAACACCTGTTTGCTCAGCAGTGGCTTTTTAACAGCTGCCATTACAATACAGTTAATTTGTTTGACAGAAACTTTCCTTAATAAATCTTTATCTGACCAAGATCTTCTGTGCTCTGTCACTCACAAATCTTTTGACAGTTCAATAATTTCTATTTGCTTTTTGCAAAATATTGTTTGTTTTGATGCCTTTTGCAAGACATTGCATTGTTTCATAGTGTTCATCTTCAGAAACATCTTTCTTCCTCACCATATTGCATGAGAACTGTGACTTGCTTAATAATATGGAACAACCTCTTTAAGTAGGGTTTCCATTTACCTAAGAAGACTTGGCAAACTATTGAACAAACCTGTCTGAGATTGATACTCTCTGCGCTTCCTCCCTCTGAAGATGACCGAGAGCTTTCCTTGGTCTGCCCTGTCAGAGTTCTGAAGATTTACATTGAGCGTTCCGCCCCGTTCAGACGGTCAGAACAACTCATTGTTAGCTTCGGTAACCACACCAAAGGGCATCCGGTCACGAAGCAAAGACTTTCCATGTGGATAGTAGACGCTATCACGCTAGCGTAATCTTCCTTGGGCCTACAATGTCCCATCGGTGTATGGGCCCATTCCACCAGAGGCATCGCCTCGTCTTGGGCATGGTTTAGCAGTGTGTCCATTATGGAAATCTGTGAGGCGGCCGGCTGGGCCTCGCCATCCACATTTGCTAGGTTTTATAACCTGGAAGTCCCGGCCTTACAGGCCAGGTTCCTTTCCGCTTGAGGGGACATGCACTTGCATTATGCAAACAGTTCTGACAGAGAGTCCTTGACCGTAACACGCTCAAGCTCTTGGGTCGATTTATTTGTCGGCTCTCAGCCCCTGGGGTGCCGAAGTTGTACGAATACTCTGGAACAATTACCCAGGCCGGGCGTGACCTCTGTGAGTTCAGCCAGTATTACTGTGTTCCCATAGCGTCTTTCGCAAGATGCAGTACGAGTGAAGTATCAATAGGGAACGTACTCGGTTACTAACGTAACCTCGGTTGCCTGAGATACAGGAACGAGTACTGCGTTGCTAGCCATGCTATGTAGCTGCACGACTCAGTCGTCGCTTCAGTCGAAGTAACCTGAAGATCCTGTGGTAAAGTGCCCGGTTATATAGCCAGATGGCCCCGCCCATTCTGGCGGGCTCTGGCGGGCTTTGTCGCATTTGTTCATTTCTAACCAATGGCCGTGCAGTTACACTCTGTGATTGAAAAAAGGCTTCAGTTCAGGAGAAAAAAGGCTTTTTCCCGTAGCGTCTTTAGCAAGGCGCATTACTTGTTCCTGTATCTCAGGGAACCGAGGTTACATTAGTAACAGAGTATGTTTACTGATGTGACAGACAGTTATTAACCTCATTCTTTTGTCTCTACACATAAAGAGACATTTGCATTAATGGGTGAATATAACTGTAAATGTGACCAATAGCAGTTGCATTAAACACCCAGTTTACGCTTGTTTAAAATTTAAATTACATTTACAAAATGAGCCTACATTAGCAGAAATGAGCCTTTTTAAATAAAGGTCCACATTTAATAAAGCACTGGCCATCTTAAAGTATTTAATTGTAATACTGAATATCACACTAAAATCAAGTACTTTATCATCAGAATACAGTAAGTGTACTTCTTTAAAGCATGACGAAAGATTATTAAAACAATTATTTAAAATTTGATTTAATTTTATATTATTACAAAGTGCACTTTTTAAAAGTGTTGTAAGTTGTACTTACAGATACAATGCATCTCATTGGTGGGTACTGGTCAAAAGATAATTTGCACACCTCTTTGAAAACATTCTGAACAATCTCTGAAAATTAAATGTATGACAAGAAGGAAATTGTTATTTAAACTAAAAAGTATTCAAATTCAATATTATTTTATTTGTTGTTGTCTTTTTCTGTATGCTGTACCCACTTTAGAGTTACTCTAAAACAGATGACAAAAAATGTTTCAGTCTAAATTTAATTTTTATGTATTTCAATTGCATACAAATTTTCCATCCATTTAGATTACATAGTTTAGATAGTTTTAACATAAACAAATTAATAAACACAATTTGATTCATATGCGTCAGTCATACGTGAATGAAACGGGTAAGATTTATGTAATAGTTAACTGCAAAGTCCCCAGTGTTAAATAATAACTGCTCAGTGTTCATGTGTTTCCACACTACAGAGTGTTAAAGTAGCATTGAAGCAGTGTTGGAGTTAAGAAGATAATTATGTGATAATTGACCATTAATTATGAACAGCTGCTGTTAACAAGCAGAATCACTGAAGAAAAGAGAAACACGAGGACTACAACTGACTTCAGCCACAGCCGAAGATGAAATCAACTGATATAAAAGAAGACATTAAATCTCTTAAGATCTCAGCAGACAGACTTTATTTCTGTCAGACGTCTACAGAAGCTCTTATTGAGAATTAACAGAGGTTTAGATGTTGTTTTATTTTTTCGTTTGAGATTACAATTAAAACAGCAAATCCCGCCCCACGACTGCCAAAAATAAGTGTTCACGTGAGCAAAAGCAAGCAGGTCAAAAAATGCGGAGCACAAGAATGAGGGGGATGATCACACGCGTGCTATGAGACATATCCTCGCTCGAGAGGGTTTGTATTGCACGCACAGGTGATGTGATGCGCACGCGAGTGTTTAAAAAGAGCTCGCAGGCTCCCGTTTCCTCGCACTGTTATCCTCTCGCGGAAGCAATTTACCGTGTGCGTAAACAACTGGTGCACTTGATTCTTTTTGGCATAGATTTGCCGGCATATACCGGCTGTTTATTGATAGCTGTAGGTATGCAATGCAGAGATGTATACGCCACGCCCTCTTCTGAAGACGGTGCGGGAATGTGCAGCTCATTTGCATTTAAAGTGATACACACAAAAACAGCTCTTTTTTTAGACGTGCCCCATAAATGACATTTTCAGCATGTTATAATAAAGGATCTGTGGGGTATTTTGAGCTGAAGCTTCATAGACACATTCTGGGGACACCCAAGACCAATAGTACATCTTGCAAAAAGGGGCATAATAGGTGCCCTTTCATTTGTTTATGTTAAAACTATGTAACCTAAATGGATGGAAAATTTGTATGCAATTGAAATACATAAAATTTAGATTTAGACCGAAACATTTTTTTTTGAGTGTATACTGTATTTAGAAAATGTAGAAAATACACGCTGTACCTCGTACATGTTTCAGTGTTGCCATAGCTGGCTCTTGAAGGGCTGCCACATGGTCCTTGATGACACTTTCAAATTCACAGAAGTCACTGAACGTAAGCAATTCTCTGCCCCGATGCATCTCATTGTACTTGTCTACCATTTCCGTCACTTTTGTTGTGACTGCATTTATAATAACAAAAAGAGAAAGTCAGGTTTAGGGATAATGGTACAGACACAAATGGTTTTAACATATCTTGACTTACATGATTCTTCAGTGCCACTTAAGTAGTTGTCCCAATTCTTGAACACAGGATGTATGAGTGCATGAATGTTTCTGTCTTTTGAATGTCCTGTTCTGCTCAGTTCATTTATTTGATCACTGAACTCCATTATTATCTACACAGGAAGAAGAATAAATAATAATAATAATAATAATAATAATAATAATAGTTATGATAATCTATGGGGTAGATATGGATAAAGGCTTTATTGTGTTTTATTCTCAGAGCTCTAACCTCACTGAGAAAAGGTCCCATTTTTTCTACTTCCAGAGGTGGACCCTGATCGTAGTTTTTAAGCTCCCTTTGCACATTGACTAGCCCAGTCTGAATCTGCTCAGTCAAGTAGGGCAGCGATTTCTGTGTTCATAAGAAAATATAATTGGATATAACTGGCTAATCACTTTATTTAACCATCGTATTAAAACCCATTACTTAACCACTTGCAACCCAATGAACATCACTACAGTTAAATGCAGCATTTAACAATCATGATTTCATTAACAGGAAAATAAATAAATAAATAATTTAAGCATAATCCCTCATTTAGTGCTTGCCTTAATATGATCAACCAATTCTTTGGTCAGGTTGTTTGCCAGGAATTGAGTAGATGCTTTACCATCATTCAGTAGGGAGCTGCCAATAAAAAGAAAAATCGTATATATCCTATATCTAAATATGAAACATGCAAACAATTCATAGATTTGCAGTCATGGTAAGAATTACATTATGAATGCATTATTACTTGAAATATCGGTGGTTCCTAAAGAATTTCATTTCCATCTCCATGGCTTTAGAAAGAGGGATTTTGTTATTGATGTCACTCTGACCACGGCATCTCACAATAATATAACCCTTGCTGAGAGGAATGACTTTGCCCTGAACAATGTTTAAAACATCAATCTCAGCTCCTCTGTCAATGAGGTCTGGCTTTGTGAGAATTGCTAACCCATGCATTCAACAACAAAGAAATAAAGGTTAGGATTAGCATGAATCATATATTTATAGGTATGTAGCATTCATGAAATATATGTGTTAAATAAATATATCATAGAAAACAAAATGTAGGCAAACCAAGAGTTCTGTATCCCTCGGGGTCTACATCTTGTGCCATTCTTAGTGCTTCTGTTGTTGCTATGTCAACATTGCAGGGCACAACAACTAAAATGATGGTTTCACTTTTGGCAACGTATTTTAATATCAGGTTTTTGATCTAAAAATAAAAGATAAAATGTCCCTTGGTTAAAGAGTTGTGAATCTTTTAGCCACTATTATACACTATAGATTGTTATATATACTTCCACAATATAGGATATCTATAAAAGTATGTGGCCAAGAGGTTAGAGGGAGTATTCAACACACCCTCAGGGTAATTCATAAGCATTTTGCAATTTGGCAACATTTTCAGACGATCTGCTTACACTCTCTTGAAGGTTAGCTTTAGTGATGGACATTCAATTCGTGGTCATGTTTAAAGTTTTCTGTATGTGTACGATGAATTATAAATGTGTATTAAGAAAGTAATTTTTCTTCTTGAGATCTTGAGTGACTTTAAACTGCATTTGTCATGGGAAAAAAAATTGCTAACTTAAATTAGCTGATTTGAAACAAAGTATTGTGTCAATCTTAATATCTAAAATATTTTTTGCAGATGCAGGTTTACAGCTTAAAAGCCTGTTCACACAAATGTCCAAATATTTACATGTTTTCAAACAGCTTTTTAGATTTTTATACACTGTATATGCTCACCTGATCAGCAATATCATCAGGTTGACCATGCACAGGTACACGGGTGATACCAGGTAGATCGATCAGAGTGAGGTCACAAACATCAGGAGATAAAATTTCCAAAGAGATGAGTTCATCAGAGATTCCAACTGCATTTCCAGCAAGCTTGTTTTGAGCTGTCAAATACATATTCAAAGTTTGCAGACTTAAACAAGTCTATTTTTTTTTTTCATGTGGTACTAGTGAATTCGACCCTGGAAATCCACTTCAGGACATAGAGATGTGCAAAATTCACAGCTGAATAGAGAATGTATTGTAAATTCTAATTCACTTTCTAAATTTAACTTATGGATGCAAATAGGCCAATGCATTTCAATTCATTAATTTAAAGGGAACCGATTCTGAAACTCTGAATTTTGCCCAACCCTGTTATAATCTTTCTAAGATGACTTTCATCAGGGTAACATTGCCACTAATGCTGGATATGTTGGTTATGATATATAAGGGTTTTCTGTTCATACTGACCTTCTCTGACAAGGTTATCCACCTTTAATGGGTCATTAAACTTCTCTTTGTGACCACTGTAAGAAATGGCCCCTGACCATGGTCCTTTTTTTAACTTTCGTAATTTCAACTCAAGAGGACAGCGAGTGACAATACCTTAAAAAAAAAAATAAATAAAGATAATAATAATAATAATAGGCAAACAATATACCTCAATGATCTCAAGGTGGCCTAGTTTTCAAATTTCATTTATTTTCACACATTCTAACAAGATTGTGAGAACCAATGATATGAAATGAGATTTGAAAAGCAGAGGGTGAAATTTGAGCAAATATTTACAGTGAAGACTATATGACACTATACAGTGATGAAGATTATATCAAACAATCCATATGGACTACTTTTTAATGATGCTTTTATGTCCTTTACATAGCTTGACAGTTGTAATTGCTGTCATTTTTATCCATCATGCATTTCACTTTGTGTACTATGAATGAAAAATACAACAAAGTTATACAACAAAGTAGTGAAAACTGAAAGAACACACACAAACACAAACGCGCACACACACACACACACACACACACACACACACACATTTAATTGCTTTTGGATTTCCTTATTTTTAAACTTTAGGCAAAACATTTGTTAAATAATTCATGAAAAAAAAAATTTTTATTTTCACTATTCAAAATTATTAAGTGCAAAAACCAGATGATTAGATTATGGAAGTAGGGGGAACTTTTTTTTTTTTTTCAAAGCATGGCATAAAAATGTGAATCTACTGCAATATGTAGTATTGCAATATACAGTATAGTTTAATTTAGTCACAAGGTGCTGCAATGAAAGGCAATTCAGAATCTTACCACTTCCTCGTGGTAAAGCCACACCAGAAAGTGCTTCCAGAACAGAACTCTTTCCAGAACTCTGATCTCCCACAACTGCAATCGATGGTAGATCCATATCCTTATCAATGCCGATCAACCTCAGAGAGTCAATCAACTCAATCAAAGGCTGAACAGACTCAATGAAGTGATTGTGGAATGCTCCATGAGTCTGTAACTCTGAAAATGAGCTGTATAATTAAAACATGAAAAGAGAGAAACAAGCAGAAATGATTTAGCCCATTAGTTGGAGGTTCTTTAGTGGAAAAAAAAAGTAAATACATAAAATAATATCTACAAAAACCTTTCACTGCAGAGATGAAGACAGACCAGCATGTTAGTGTTCTGATATGAATTAGAATATTTAATTATGAGGCAACATCAATATTTGAGTTGCAAATATGTTAGTATTGCATTGTATATAGGTGCTTCTTCAATGATAAGCACTTGATGATCCAAGAAACGTCATCCTCCTCATCTCAGATAAAGTATTATTTAACAGCATGCAATGGTGGAAATGTCAGTGATGAAAATTATATTTTAAAAATAGTTCACATAAGATATCAGACACACTTAACGTTCTAAGGTTAATTTTAAAGCTAGCACACACACACACACTCATATATATCACTCTTAACAGATAATATTATATAATATAATATATATAATTTGCATTATACTATCATGTGTTTAGTTATTATACTCAATTTAATATACATTAAAATACAGTTATTTTAATTCTTTGTCAAACACAAAGGTAGAGCAACTCAATCTTTAAGAAAGAAAGAAAGAAAGAAAGAAAGAAAAATCAAACATCTAACGCATCTAAATACTGTACCTCTCTGTGCCTTGGGAATCATAGTCTATAAGTTTGTCCTGACCATCCATAATTTGTCTAAAGATGAACTAAGAAAGTCCAAACTGAGATATGATTTGTTAGCAACTTGTTTAGTGTTAGCAAAAAGCACATTTAAATCAGCAGTTTCTTTAGTACTTCCACTTTAATGGTACTGTGCATAGTAGTAAAAAAGAAAATGTTGTCTTCTTACCTTATCAAAATCCCTTAGGTTTATATAGGCCATCTTTATACTATTTTCAACATTCATTAACAGAATGTACACCAATAAAACAAAAGTTCATTGTTAAAGAAATTAAAATGAGATGACTCATATGAAATGATTGAATTGTCTGGAAACAATGGTGAAAGGTCAGAACTGATTCATAGAAATGCTTATTTTAGTCAGGACCACCCTGTTTGATTAAGATTATTTGTGGAGGCACTGAATGTTACAGTAGTTTCCTGGCAGTAGGCTTTGCTCTGAAGGGTTCAGCTTCCAGCTGTCCACAAGCAAATCCTCACTGAGGTTTGAACCCCCTGAAGCCTAACGTGACAAGCATGACTGTCAGCAAACCAATAAAGTTTTATTTTATTTTCAGTTTGGTTTTACTTTCTCTTTGACTTTTATTGCACATCATATGATATGTCTAGTATAGCAACTCTGAAAAGCCTGATTTGGTACAGGTGTTCATAGTTATATGGCCAAAAGAAAGATGAAATTCTGATAGCTCGTAATGTAAAACAGTAAGATCTTCATAACAGTAAAGCAGACTACTTACATAAAATTATATAAATATCAGTTGTCACTCTATATCTCCCAATAGTATGCCTTAATAAGATGATATTTAAATACTTAGTTTTATGGTCAAAGCTGTCACGGCTATGCTGTATTAAAACTAGGGGTGGCACGATACCATTTTCTCAGAACCGATCACGATCCGATACCAAAAATTCTGAGTATCGGACGATACTGATCCGATACCAGTGCAGTTTTGTTTTTTTTAAATCAGTGTATAATTTCTATACCTCAGTGTGTGTTGACCTGATCATCACTCTTTTGTGTGTTACACACAATCTACTAAATATAGACAACTTCATATTGTCACGGTACACAAGGCAGAGACATGAGGTAAGAGTGCAAACAGGTTGGTTTATTGACAGAGGCTGGCAATGAATAACCATGGCGGTGCAGGGAGCTCGGGAGGCCATGGCGGTGCAGGGAGCTCGGGACGCCATGGCGGAGCAGGCAGTTCAGGAGGCCATAGCGGAGTAGGGAGCACAGGGAGCCATGGCGGAGCAGGCAGTTCAGGAGACCAAGGCGGAGTAGGGAGCACGGGGAGCCATGGCGGATCAAACAGTTCAGGAAGCCATGGCGGAGCTGCCTCGGAGGCTGCGGCCCCAGCCCTCTACGGCTGGAGCCATACTACCCTCCCCCCCCACAAAAAAAAGAAATTCCTTGGGGACGCTTAAAGGCTCCAAGGCCCTCTCAGGGCCAAAACCGGGGACTGGAGCCCTCCCTGGGCTTAGCTGGGGATCAGGAGCCCTCCCTGTGCTTAACAGGGGATCAGGAGCCCTCCCTGGGCTTAACTGGGGATCAGGAGCCCTCCCTGGGCTTAACTGGGGATCCGGTGCCCTTCCTGGGCTGAACTGGGGATCAGTAGCCTGTCCTGGGCTAAACGAGGAATCAGGAGCCCTCCCCGGGCTTAACTGGGGATTGTTACGCCTGCCTGTTTCCCCCTGCTGGCTCTGCTAAACAGTGCAGAATTTAGTTGGGCCACAGGTGCATTCCATTAGTAATTAAACCTCTGATGGTGTTAGTATAAAAGATCTGTGCGCCTTAGCGTAAGGTCTCTCTCTCTATTTTCCACTCTCTTATTCATTTTTTCCCCCCTAATATTTCTTTCCTTTATTGATTGTTAGTGTCAGAGTATTTGCATCTTTAGTTACCACACGCGCGTGTTTCCCCCCCCCCTCCCCC